CAACCGTATCACTACAATCGAAAGTCAAATCAGCTGTGTCATTTTGTCACTGGTTTTACTTTCACTTTCCAACACAGCCTCATCGCTAGACCTCAACGGAGCTAGAACACTCTCAAATGACTTATTTCTGGACCCCAAAATGGCCCCTGGTTACGGGGCCGACGTGGCTCCGTCTGGCCGAGAACACCAAGGGATAGCAAGAAACATGCTCTATTTACTCAAGGGAACTAACAACGGGAACGAACTCCTGCCGCCAAAGAAAGAAACCCGGAAAATCCCAAAAGCTGTGGGTCAAGGACAAATCATTAAGCGGGTGAGAGCCAAGCTGAAGCTTCAGAGGGTCAAGTTAAAAAAGACGAGAGCTCAGATGAAAAAAGATTGTACGTTGAGAAATGAAGCTCAGTGCAAGAATAGAATGGTTATGTTCCAGGAGGACACCAGGCACATCAGGTCAGAGTTGAAAAGGTTAAAGGCACTACTGCGCACGCTCAAAGAGACGAAAACAACACATTCTGAACCCAAGTCTGTGTTAGAGATTATAGATGCTTCCAAGGGAAATGGTAAAAATGCAAGAGTTAAGACAAAAACGGATCCCAAGTCTTCCAACTGATCGACGGTCAAGAGTCGAACGTGCCGCTACCGCTGGGACAGGAGAGAGACTTTGGGATTATGGTGCTTATTCCTTACGTTATAGAGAAGCAACTTCTCGGCTGACACCTCCAACTCACCATGAAGCACTGGAGAATTCTGGTAAAAATTACAGTTGTATCACATTCAATACCAGAGGACCCGTAGAGGAACATTGCATCAACTTCACGGATTGACCTTGTGGGTGTTGCTCCTTTTGTTAGGAGGAGGGGAAACGGGCCGCAAGGGATATCTATCGGCAAAAACTGCGACTAATTCGGAATTGTTGTTCATGAACTCGGACACGCACGTGGATTTTGGCATGAACTTAGCCGACCTCATCGAGACCACCGTGTTCAGATTCACGTTAAAGCTATGCGAGGCTATTGTAACAACTTGGTGGGTGAGGATCGAAATGTTACAAGTGTCGGTATAGTTCTAGTGCCATTGTTACAAACCCTGCAGTCTCTGGTAAATATCGATAGTTCGTGATCAGCGTCTCCTGTTTGGAAACAGAACGTCGAATAGAATGTGGGGGTCCACCTGAAGGTCATGGCCGCCCATCTGCTGTTGATGTAGCACGCTCGGTTTAGGGATCAACATTCACTTGTAACAGGTTTTCTTTTTTCAAGAATTTACCCCATTTAAAAGCATTTTTTTTTCTCCAATGGTCAGTTCCTTCTATACGAATGTGGTACCGATTTTAAAAAAAAAAACACTTGAGAACCTTTGTACTAGAGCTACTGAGCTTGGTAATTCAGCGAAGTTAACTATATTTTACAGGACCTGGCTGATGGCACTGATAGAAGCAATTTGTGACAATTTGTGACAATCAGTGACAATCCGTGACTTCCTGAAATTAAAGCAATAAGAAAATTGTATTCTAACCGTGTGGTCATTGACCCGGGATTTCCCGGGATGAAACTATTTCCCGGGATGAAACTATTACCCGGGATGAAACTATTTCCCGGGATGAAACTATTTCCTGGGATGAAACTATTTCCCGGGATGAAACTATTTCCCGGGATGAAACTATTTCCCGGGTAGTCTTTTTTTATTCTAAAATATCCGGGATCCCATAGGAGAAAACCTAGATTTTGTTCAGATGACCAACTCCTGTATATAATTATTAGCCAGATTTTGTTCAGATGACCAACTACTGTATATAATTATTAGCCAGATTTTGTTTAGATGACCATCTGCTGTATATAATTATTAGCCAGATTTTGTTCAGATGACCATCTCCTGTATATAATTATTTGCCAGATTTTGTTCAGATGACCATCTCCTGTATATAATTATTAGCCAGATTTTGTTCAGATGACCAACTCCTGTATATAATTATTAGCCAGATTTTGTTCAGATGACCATCTCCTGTATATAATTATTAGCCAGATTTTGTTTAGATGACCATCTGCTGTATATAATTATTAGCCAAATTTTGTTTAGATGACCATCTGCTGTATATAATTATTAGCCAAATTTTGTTCAGATGACCATCTGCTGTATATAATTATTAGCCAGATTTTGTTTAGATGACCATCTCCTGTATATAATTATTAGCCAGATTTTGTTCAGATGACCATCTCCTGTATATAATTATTAGTTAGATTTTGTTCAGATGACCATCTCCTGTATATAATTATTAGTTAGATTTTGTTCAGATGACCATCTGCTGCATTTAATGTTTAATATATTATTCCATTGAATCACTCTTATGTGGAGAACATTTTTCGCAAAATCAACATTTTAAAAAATCAGAGTTATTGATGGCTCCATTCAGTAATGCCCATATTTTAATCGGTTTTTAACTACAAAATATAAACTGTCACTAACGTATATTATGTTCAAGAATAAATTTTGAACTTTCTCTGTTTCACTTGTTGATGTGTTGACGTTATGAACAGTGAGAAAGATTTGTTCATTCGGGAAACCAAAAATGTCAAAATGTTTACTTCATCCCATTTGCATTTTATTACAATGTACACATTCATTCTCAGCACATCTCTTATATATCTATTGTATATATATTACGCTTCTGGTGTGACTGCTTCCATTTCCGGCTGCTTCCTAACAGGCTGGCCGCTTCCCATTCAGCGTATTTGGTATTGAGAGTATATTACAACGAATTCTTTTTGTTTGAAGGAAAGTATGGTTCAATAATGAGTTCAATAGCGCGCAAAATATAATTCCTGATAACTAAGCTAAATGAATTTTTTTTTAAATAACGTGACTACACTTTGTGCTTAATATTTTCTTTTCGGAAAATGAAATCGTCTCAATTTAAGTCTGGTGTAAAAATTATTCTGTTTAAAAGTGGTTGGGACATCAGAATATTTAATATAGTTCATGGGCGTGAAATAAAAGTGTTAATTGACGTATCATTGGGGGGGGGGAAGGGGCGTAGCGAAAATTGGGATTCTTAAATGTGCGTTACTTGAGTTCATGTTTCGTCAAGTAACTTTAGCAGATGGGAAGTTCACGCATTGCTGTCGCCAATGTTTGGCGGGCTACATCTAGTAGATAAATATTCGTATAAATGTAAACATTTTTAATCTAGATCGCAAGACGTCTGAAGTACATCTCAAGAGCTTAGCTCAGCCGTCAAACGCCATGTAACTTTATTCATTTAACGACGAATGACTTAATTAGTGACACTGTTTACTTTGAGAGTTTTTAGATTTTGAATTTGTACATACTTGTCAATGATAGAAAAATAAATGTTCAGTACTTGTCACATATTGACTAAACCATTACTGCTATACAATAATTAATTGTTGAATGGAGTTTTATTACATTATGGGATCCTTTGACTCTGATCCATTTAATGTGAATAAAAATGTTTTGAAATTTATTTGCATTTATTTTCTAGTTTTCCCAGTTTTTCATTGACTTTTCTTTAGTTCATGGAAGAGGCCAATGACGAGTAGCAGAGGGTCGCACAAGAAGACCCTAGTCCCTCGCCTTGAGACTCAGTCCCTCACCATGAGACTCAGTCCCTCGCCATGAGACTCAGTTCCTCGCCATGAGACTCAGTCCCTCGCCATGAGACTCAGTTCCTCGCCATGAGACTCAGTCCCTCGACATGAGACTCAGTCCCTCGACATGAGACTCAGTTCCTCGTCATGAGACTCAGTCCCGCGCCATGAGACTCAGTCCCTCGCCATGACATGAGACTCAGTCCCTCACCATGAGACTCAGTTCCTCGCCATGATACTCAGTCCTTCGCCATGAGACTCAGTCCCTCGACATGAGACTCAGTCCCTCGCCATGAGACTCAGTTCCTCGCCATGAGACGCAGTCCTTCGACATGAGACTCAGTCCCTCACCATGAGACTCTTGTTTTATGTGGGCAGATACGAGACGTAGAATTTAGAAGACGGGTTTTGAGTCGTAAATGTCCTGGAGATTATTACATCCAAGTCAAATTGTTGCCCAAAGGAGTCCCTACAAAAACACACAAAAAAAACCCAAACAAACACGCACTTACACACACACAAATACCGGTATACACACACGCATCACACCAACACTTACACCCACCAGACACCACACTTATACGCACCAGACACCACACTTGCACACACCAGACACCACACTTACACACACCAGACACCACACTTACACGAACCAGACACCACACTTACACGCACCAGACACCACACTTACACACACCAGACACCACACGTACACGCACCAGACACCACACTTACACACACCAGACACCACACTTACACGCACCAGACACCACACTTACACACACCAGACACCACACTTACGCACACCAGACACCACACTTACACACACCAACACACATATTCTCAATGTTACATGTTGTAGGTGGAAGGCGGCACAAGAGGTTTGACCCAGAAGGATACAAAGTTTGGATGCGACAAAATTAAGCGCACACACACTTACACACACACACACACTTATTTTTGCCGTTATATTATTTCATCTCATTAATCTTTTCAAGTCATTACAGCACTACGGAGATCATATCAGGAACGTTCCATTATACAGGTCATCTCGTGTGGACGATAGCCCATTTATTATTTGTTTATTATAAACACTATTAGGAAAGCCTTGCATATGTGAGCAGGTCTTGTGTGAAATGAGTCTAAAAGTAATACCCAGTATTAAAATAAACGATACTTGAGTTGTTGTTTTAAACTTTAATCCTTCTAACGAGAGTTATCGATAGTCAACGAAGTTCGTAAAAAGTAACAGGCCGATTTATTATATATTATTATTAATTGTTTTTTTTTTCTTTGTTTTTTTTTTGGGGGGGGGGGGGGGTTTGATTTGTTTGTGTTTTTTTTTTTTTTTTTTTTTTTTTTTTTTTTTTTTTTTTTTTTTTTTTTGGGTGGGGGGGGGGGATTGACTTAACGTACTAAAGATAATTGTTTCTTGTGTTGCTAAAACAGGTGAGACTCTTGAAATAATATTTCAAACAACTTTTGTCAGGGAATTCCGTAGAGATAATGACAGAGCTTCAGGGTGCAATTGTAACTTTTCAATGTTCAATTTTAAACAGAAACACTCAGCAAAAGATGAACATCTCGATCACTTTATTTCTTCTCTGACAACATTCCCCAAAAAGCCTTCGGTCTGGTAAAAGCCGTCACTGACGAAGGTCACCAGCAAGTTTTCGCCCGTTGAAATGAAAACACTTGGAATCGATTGACTGCAGTATCTGCCGAATAACTTCGACGCTGCGGTCGCCCCATCTCTTACTTCCAAGTAATCAGATTTGCAGTTTTCGCTCCCCTCGAGTTTGAAGAGCTCGAGTCTCAACACAATCCTGAAGCCCTTTCCGGCAGACAACTTCCACGAACAGTTCTTATTTGGCACATACTCGTAAGGGTAATTCGGACTCCCCAGATAAACTTTATCTTCAACTGTAATTTCTCCGCCACATAGAAACATATAGTTCCCTTCAAATCCTTCGCCCGGACCCGTCTTGGATCTGTACTCAATGAACATCAGAGGCCCCGTAGATGTTACGCTTAGGGGCGCACTGCCGGCGCATAACTTCTCCAGAAGGGCGGAGCTTTTGCTCGGCCCGTCCCGAATTTCTAAATAAGTGTCATCGCAGCTGGCGTTAAAGTGCATTCCTGTGATTTTAAACAGGACAGTCTCCCCGTATCCAGCGATAATGCGCCACTGACAGAAGGCCGATGCGTTTGCCAAGGGAAGGTGTGTGACATTACCTTTGGGGTGCTGAAATGACTTTCCGCATTTCGGACACCTGTAGAATTCGTTCGTTGCTTTGACGTCTGATACATAAATCTTCATTTTCAATTCAATGAAGAAATCAGCTGACTCGACGTATTTGACTTCGTTTGGATGATTGGAATAGAGCTTGCTCTGAAATAGTTTTTCTCCGTACCGCATGATGCTATCGTTCTCTGAGATCGATTCATCTCGTTCCTCTTCTGTATCGGATGCTTTCATCTTATCATTGGTTATAATTACGTCCATGGTTAGATTAAATAGAGACTCCAATGTCTTTGTTGTAGTTCCCGGAGCGCTTCCGTTGACGGAATTGCTCACATTAATCAGCTGATGTATTGGGCTGGCCTGGGGGATATCATCTGTAACATCCGATAGTCCAATGACATGTCCCAGTTCGTGGAGAACTATTCCCGTTTGCTCACAACCATCTCCAATGGAGATGGGTTGCGGCCCGGTTCGTTGGTTGCCCACTGCAGCACAACAGCCACAGGGCAACTTGGTGAAAACTACGTAGTCTTTATGTTGAGGCGCTTTGTCAACAAAGACAACGCACGTTTTCATTTGCCACTGAATGATGGCGTCCAACAAAAGCGCCTTCCCGTCTGCTGTAAAGTTTCCATCTATGACAAATGGAATGACGCCTTCTTCCCAGAGGTTGGTTAAGTTTGGGATTGGAGGACGAATCGAGTTTGGGATTGGAGGATGATGGGAGTTTGGGATCGGGGGATGATTGTATTTTGGGATCGGGGGATGATTGGAGTTTGGGATCGGGGGATGATTGGAGTTTGGGATCGGGGGATGATTGGAGTTTGGGATCGGGGGATGGTTGGAGTTTGGGATCGGGGGATGATTGGAGTTTGGGATCGGGGGATGATTGGAGTTTGGGTGGGATGATTGGAGTTTGAGATTGGAGGATGATTGGAGTTTGGGATCGGGGGATGATTGGAGTTTGGGATTGGGGGATGATTGGAGTTTGGGATTTGAGGATGATTGGAGTTTGGGATTGGAGGATAATTGGAGTTTGGAATCGGGGGATGATTGGAGTTTGGGATTTGGGGATCATTGGAGTTTGGGATTGAAGGATGATTGGAGTTTGTGATCGGGGGACGATTGGAGTTTGTGATTAGGGGATGATTGGAGTTTGGGATTTGAGGATGATTGGAGTTTGGGATCGGGGGATGATTGGAGTTTGGGATCGGGGGATGATTGGAGTTTGGGATTTGGGGATCATTGGAGTTTGGGATTGAAGGATGGTTGGAGTTTGTGATCGGGGGACGATTGGAGTTTGTGATTAGGGGATGATTGGAGTTTGGGATCGGGGGATGATTGGAGTTTGGGATCGGGGGATGATTGGAGTTTGTGACTGGGGGATGATTGGAGTTTGGGTCAGATTTTGTATGTTCTGACAACGCTGCCATGGTCGAGCTTTGCCATGTTTTGTTGTGTTGTCTCTGGGTTTCATTAACATACTGCACATGATCTACATTGTGAAGAGTGCTGTTAGTGGCGTCGTTACGCAGAGGAATACTGGTTGCCTTGACAATGGACAACGCCAGTAACAAGATGGCCGGTGCGAGCATGCTACGGAGAGGTGGTAGAGAAATAAGTAGTCTCGCAAGTGTCAGCCCGTCAAAGGTAAAGCTCCAATTCTCACACAAAGGCTGCTGAAATTATTGATAATTAAAACCTTAAGATCCGGACAGAATACCATTTTAAGGCTTCTTCTAATCGACCCTAACAATAAATGGCAGAAAACCTATTAAACACGAGAGAGAGAATAGTTCTCATGAAATTATATGGACCAACAAAGGATTAATATGGATGGAGAATACGAACCAACCCTGAATAGTAAAGTATTTATCAGGTGCCCACGATAGTAACAGAAATAAGAAAAAAAAAAGGTGGGCTGCGCTGCGCAGGACACGTATATAGAAAGATCGCCAGATGACAGAGGTGTGAAGAAGGTACATCACCAAAACCCCAGAGGATAACGGCTCAAAGGCAGACCTAAAGGCTTAAATGGGCGGATGGTGTGGAAAAATATCTACAGCAGCTGGGAATTCAAGCATGGAAAAGAAAAGCATCCGTTAGGTCTCAGTGGAAGGAAGTAGTGAGGCATGCCAAAGCCCTACTTGGGCTGTCGTGCCACAGGGATGGATTCTAATCGTCCCCATTTAATATTGTATTTCCAATTTTTAGGATAACGACCAAAGAAGATTAAACTCACAGCCAAAAAATCGGCCATGTTTTGCTTAATTAAGTTGCTTTTTTTGTACACCTACTAAATTGTAAGGCAGATACATATATTTTTTTTTAAAAAGTGAACATACTAGATAGTAAAAAAAAAAGTGAACATACTTGATAGTAAAAAAAAAGTGAACATACTAGATAGTAAAAAAAAAAGTGAACATACTAGATAGTAAAACAAAAAGTGAACATACTAGAAAGTAAAAAAAAAAATTGTTCAAAAAATAGAATAACGAAAATTAAATTCAGTTGTAGTGGTAGGCTAATTTTTTTTTAAAAAGTGAACATAATAAAAAAAAAAAAAAAAAGTGAACATACTTGATAGTAAAAAAAAAGTGAACATACTAGATAGTAAAAAAAAAAGTGAACATACTAGATAGTAAAACAAAAAGTGAACATACTAGATAGTAAAAAAAAAAATTGTTCAAAAAATAGAATAACGAAAATTAAATTCAGTTGTAGTTGTAGGCTAATTAATAACTGCGAACATTGACACGGCGACAGACTGAGCACACGGGAGATCTCAACAAATATTCACCTGTTGTTGATAAGGTATTATGCTTGGTAATTGAGTTTGCAGCTGATGGTCGACAGCACCTGGCGACTGTGATGTGAGTGTGCCATGTGCTTTACCTGAGTCCCCGCACATAGGTGCGAGAGTGTGGTATATGTGTGGTATGCGAAGACTGTGTAATGCCTTCGTCTAAACGCGAGCATCTGCTCACACTGGCTGTGAATGGAGGAAAGGGGGGGGGATGGTTGGGAGAGTTGACAAACAAAATTGCAGATCAATAAGGATCATCAGGAAGGATGTCAGGAGTCTCAAGTTATTGGACAAGGACCAATTTTAAATATGTCAGGAGTCTCAAGTTATTGGACAAGGACCAATTGTAAATATATCAGCAGCCTCAAGTTATTGGACAAGGTCCAACAGTAAAAATGTCAGGAGTCTCAAGTTATTGGACAAGAACCAACTGCAAGGATGTCAGCACTTGCGTCACCAGCTGTCCGGTCGGTAATGAAGCTGACATCTCGTTGGCCAAGGTTTGGTAAATATCGTGCAGTAAATTCAAGCACTCCTCAAGTTGACTTGTCTGTGAATACGATTAAATAACCTGTGTGACATCATAATGTGTTTGTCAAATACTTTACTAAAGATCTATGAGCCCCAGTGGCTTATCAAAAGGGGGGAGCCGAAGGGGGCAGCAAAGGGGCAGCAGCTAAAAAAAAAAAGAGGGTAATTTTCTCTTTGTTTGGAGGGGCTGCATTTTCGGCAAACTGTAATTTTTTTTTCCCGAGGAAGAGGCGCCCGCCCCACTTGACACTAAACCTAGTTACGCCACTGATGAGCAGCTAAGTTAAAGGCATAACAATTTTTACGTACGCTAACCTGTTGGTAACTTTCTTTTTAAAACTGGCAGAGTTCATAAGAAATTGGTTTATTGTATGCCGAAACTCTTTCAGCAGCTGTCACAGTGCAAACATCATTCTAGGGCATCGTATTTTTCTAGGGCATCGTATTATTCTAATGAAATAATTAAACCTGAACTGTTTTTTTTTTAAATGTCGTTGGGTGTTTTGTTGTAGTTGTTGCGTCCAAGTGGCCACGTAGATGGATACGTTAGAGTCAGAAAAAAGGCTTAGTTTAAATTGAAGCTGATGTAAGGATCGAATCGACAGAGAAGAACCCATGAAGGACAACGGTAAGGAGCTTTGCTGTTGCTAATGAATAGTTGGGCGAGCTGCCGTGATATTGCTCATCACAATCAATTCTACAAGTTAGCTTAAATAACACCAACGCTGTTCTGTGGATCCAGTACCGGCATGGTGCATAATGTGCGGTGGATCTAGTACTGGCATGGTGTACGGTGGATCCACTAACGGCACGGTGCATGATGTGCGGTGGATCTAGTACCGGCATGGTCTACGGTGGATCCAGTACCGTCATGGCGCATGATGTGCGGTGGATCTAGTACTGGCATGGTGTACGGTGGATCCACTAACGGCACGGTGCATGATGTGCGGTGGATCTAGTACCGGCATTGTATACGGTGGATCCAGTACAGGCATGGTGCATGATGTGCGGTGGATCTAGTACCGGCATGGTATACGGTGGATCTAGTACCAGCATGGTGCATGATGTGCGGTGGATCTAGTACCAGCATCGTGTATGGTGGATCCAGTACCGGCATGGTGGATGATGTGCGGTGGCTCTAGTACTGGCATGGTGCATGATGTGCGGTGGATCTAGTACCGGCATGGTGCATAATGTAAGGTGGATCTAGTACCGGCATGGTGCATAATGTAAGGTGGATCTAGTACCGGCATGGTGCATAATGTAAGGTGGATCTAGTACCGGCATGGTGTACGGTGGATCCAGTACCAACATGGTGCATGATGTACGGTGGATCTAGTTCGAGTACCGGCATGGTGCGCCTCATGGTCAAGCTTGTCTGAACGTGAAGTCAGCATACGCGCAGCCAAAATGATTGCCCTGTCAGATGACAACATTGTCCAAACCCATCTATGACATCATCATGCTCTGCTTAAAGTCTGCCAGCCAGTTTGTCTGTCACCTCCACCAGAAACGAAGCGAGGGAACGAAGCGTACCCAATGCATGTGCCATGTTCTGCCCCCCCCCCCCCAATACCTTCATACTTCTTACTGTGCTCTCCAAAGTTCATTTTAACTTGACTCTGTGCTCGCTAACGATGTGAAATAACTTATGTTAGCCGGATAATGGTGCTCAACTCAACTCTTGCGTCCATGATGAAACACCGCACTACCATATAATAGGAAATATTGCTAATGGTAGATTTCAAAGCAACTGTTTCCCATATTATCGAGTTTGCCTCAGTAACCTGTCTCTACGGGCATTGGAAGAGAGGGGAGTAGGGAGATACTCTCCCCGGACGGCACTGTTGTGCAGCACTTTCGGTCCAATTCGTAGACTTAACAAAGTTGGTTTTCTTTCATTATAGGCGACAAAATCAAACTATTGCTGCAGCTACATTACTGCCATAGCTACAGCTACATTACTGCCATAGCTGCAGCTACACTACTGCCAGTCTCAGCTTGAGGTTAATTTTTTAAAATTATTTTAGCGTTAGTCATGGAAAAAGAACATTTTCTTTATACGCAAATTAACTTTATAATCAAGTGGATTTTTTAAAAGTATTTTAATTAAATTTCTACTTTGAAAGTCAATGTATTGTACAATGTATCTGCCCTCCTACATACCGGGTAAAGAGTAATACAATGTATCTTCACTCGTACATACCAGGCACAGAGTAGTACAATGTATCTGTGCCCCCAATGGTCAAGCTTATCTATCTTCTGCAAACTATTTTACTCTCTCTGGACAGTGTTTTTAATCAGTTTGCCAACATCTCTTGTCAGGAGAGTAAAAGAGATTTGCGTTTTTTCAGATTTCATAATTTAAAAAAAAATTAGTTTGAATGCACCGGTCAGTTGCACCGGTCAGTTGCACCGGTCAGTTGCACTGGTCAGTAACAGCTGGAGTACAAAAGTATTTTTTTATTATTTAAACAAAATGTTTTTTTTTTAAAAATTAAGTTCGTCAATAACATCAGAAAAAAATGTAATTTTCAAAACCCAAACAAAGCGAGAATAAATTAAAACAAATTTATTTGACACATAACAATTAAGAATTTCTGTACAAAGTGGCAATAAAAAAAAATACAACCGTTGGCATACATGAATTAGTGACACGTTTAGTCAAGTGAATGTTTTGTAAGTGAATATCACACAATGACGAGGAATTGATTCAGCGGATCTCAAAATCGATTTTACGGGTCATAAAGTTTTTTTTTTTACAATTTTGGAACACTCGCTTGTTTATCATCAACGATTTGATTCGGGTCTGGTTCAACGGCACTGAATGTCAACGAGAACCCCTTCCTGTTGATGGTGTCATCAGAGCGGAATCTGATCAACAAGACTGACGAACTCGACCTGATGATGCCTGGGATCTCGGCCCCACAATAAACACCCAACACCGTGTCCGTCTCGTGGCCGCCATCAAACACGGTGAACGCGTCGTACCTGCACTCGGCTTCGAGTTCTAAATTAAAAAATGTAACATTGAGTTGGACCCTCCATCCGTCCCGACACTGGATCCTCCAGTCGCAGTCCTCTTTGTTGTCGTAGTTCTTATCCCCGAACCCGGCGTGCGATATCAGCAGCTGGGCTGCGGCCGTGGCCTCCAGGTGGGCCCCGCATTTGGTCCGGTGCTCGATCTCGAATCCTTTCCTTTGGACGGAAGCGTCCGAGAAGAAGATCATGAACATCCGGTTCCCGCTGGAGACGACCGGGTCCGGGACGACGGCGCCGCAAAATATGCCGATGCTGCGAGCGTTTCTGTCCTCGCCGTCAAACACCACGACGTGGTCGTAGGTGCATTCCTGGTGCGGCTCGATCTCAAAGTCTCGAAATATCAACTCAATCCTATGGCCCAGGGCGGTTTTTAACAGCCACACGCAATCCGACTTGCTGGGATAGTACTCGGGGTAGTTCGGGCTGTTGATCGTGCCTTGCTGAGACGTGATCTCCGAATGGCAGCCCCCTTCCTTGCAGCCGTGCAGGTCATCATGCAGCGCGAAGCCGTTTTGACATGCGCAGTGGTAGCTCCCGATCGTATTTTTACAGATGTGCTGGCAGCCGCCATTGTTGACCACGCACTCGTCTTTATCGGTCATGAACGTCGCGGTGAAGCCGGATTTCTCGACGGTATTGTCGGATTTGAACTCGATTCTGATGGTGTTCCCGTCGGAAGTGACGGGGGCGGGAATGGTGCTCCCGCAGAAAATGTCAAGTGATTTCTGATCTCCGTTATGTCCACGGTCAACAATGACCGAGTCGTATTCACACCCCTGGTTGTGGCCCTCGATCTCGAAATGCGTAAAGTTGAGATTGATCTTGTGGTCGTTCGGGGCGACGATCTGCCACACGCACTGCTTGTTGGAGGGATAGAGGTCAGGGTACGAAGGGGACGTAATCGTGCCGTTCTCCGCGTGAATGTACCCACCGCACGCCTTCTCGCACCGCTTGCCGTCATAATGTAGCTCGTACCCGATACGGCACTCGCACCTGAAGCTGCCCAGGGTGTTGATGCACACGTGATCGCAGCCGTGGTTCTCGTCGTTGCACTCGTCGAACTCCTTCACGAACCGCGCGAAGAAGCCGGCCTTCTGGACGGATCCGTCGCTGGAAAACTTGACGTACAAGTGTCGCCCGGAGGATTTGATATCCTCGGGGATTCGGTAACCGCAGTACTTCCCGACCAGCGGCGACTGCTCCGTCGGCCCGTCCCTGACCTCAAGGTAGTCGTACACGCAACCGTCGTGATTCTCGATGTCGAAAGATTGAAACTTGAGCGCCACGTGAAGACCTTCCTCCACAGTGATTTTCCACACGCAGTTCTTCTGGGGGCGGTAGTCGTCCGGGTAGTTTGGACTTGACAGAAAGCCGTCCTCTTTGGTTATCTCCCCGCCACAGATGGACTCATACTGGGCCCCGAATCCCCGGCCGCCCCCGTTTCGAGTTCTGTATTCTATCCACATCCGGGTGCCAGAAATTAACGTCTCCGGGATAGTATCGCCACAGAAACGACCAAGCAACGGAGACTTGATGTAATGCCCATCACGAACTTCAAGGTAGTCGTCTTCACAGTTGTACGATTTGGGGATATCAAGTTGGGTGATGTTCAAGAC